CTCTCTCAGTAAAAAGATATGGCAAAAGACTGACCCTTTTATCTTAAGCAAACCGAAGATGGCCTGAGACTGATTTTAATGCACATGTGCACTCTGTCAAACAGGAACCGTAGGCTTTCAAAACAAAAAACCTACTGTATCTTTTGCTTGAGGCAAAAATAAGGCAACTGTGATACACATCACAAGCAGCAAATCTGTCTTCAAGCTTTCTTTTTAAGATTCTAGCACCACTCTTGAGTGTACAGAAATGAAAAATTTGTAGCTTTTTCAATGAAGCCTGACTGCCAACATATCAAACCCCAGCAAAGACAATGCCACTGCACAGCTACACAAGAAAGTTCAAAGATCACAGGTAACCTTACCTGGAATTTGGAACAACCAACTGCCCTAAGAACAGACACAAAACCCCAGCCCCCCTTTAAGAAAGATCCCCCAACCCCTTTTGCCCTCTTTTTTTTCTACAATCGCCCAATGAGGTAAGTGAGACTGAAAGAAAGAAAAATAGACTGGCTCAAGATCATCCAGTACATTTCACAAATCAGTAAGCTTTTCACACAGTACCCTAACCAGTCCTAACTTTGAATGAAAAAGAGAAAGGATCAATAGTTTGAGTGCTAGTACATCTGAGCACATGGGATATCCTGGACAAAAAAATGCCTCCTCAGTTTGGGGCATGTTGAGGCTCTCTAGTGGGTTTCCCAATCCTCAAAGAGCCAATTCTGAAGGCTCATGAGAGGTTGTTGCAGTGAGATTCCACCATTTCATGAAAAGAAGCTCACTGTTGGATCCTGCCAGATTCCACCTCACAAGCTAACAAAGCATCCATGCAACTGCAACACAAGGTACTAAACAGGCTATCCAGTCTTGCCTATGTGTATCTGCAAGCATGTAAGTGCAAACACAACCACATTAGACAATGATTTTATGTACTGTACTGTATCTCAGGTTTGGGAACACGCTTTGGCAGCTGATTTCCCTTGCAGCATTACTACTTGTAAAGACAAGACATTTGTCCTTCCATTCATTTAATAAAAACATAACGGGTGCTGTAAAAAATGCAATATACTGCTGTAGAAGGCAAGGAATGCAGACAAGCAGTTGGATGGAAATGGACAAAAAGAATAAAATTGCTCAATGCAGCTCATGAATTTGGGTCAGGCTGGCCCTCATTTCAGTTCCGTCACTTTATTAACTTCCAGGAAAAAATGTCACTTTGGTATGAAACACTCCTTACATATTCGTGAAACATGGGTATGTTTCATGTGGAAACATATGAAGTTTCACCTACCTCTGTCAATAAATGGATGGTAAACACACTGTGGGCTCCCCTGGTAGGCCCAGTCTACAAGGCTTTCCTGGGCAGTAGACCGGGCCTACCGGGGGAAGCCCTCCCGAGGTTGGCCCGGTCCACCCTGGGAAAGCCTGCATCGGCGGGGGCGGGAGATCTCCAAGAGGCCTCCGGCAACGACGGGTAAACCCTCGGAGGCCTCCGGCAGCGGTGATGGCGCAGCGAGGGACCCCTGGAAGGCTTCAGAAAGGTAAGTTCTATTTCTTTTCTTTTTTGGGGGGGGGGGGGGGGGGGGTGTTCTTGGGCCGGTTAC